TTTTTGTTTTGTTTTATTACACTTATGAAATGGGATCGAGGAGTTCATCCTGATTGTATATTGCTATATTGGTAAATAGTAAATTTTTGTGATATATGCTTCTGCATTGACTGCATATCCAAATAAATATCATACCATGTCATTATTAAACAGTGGAATCTGCCGATTCGAACAGTACGTTAGGAGTCTAAACATAATCGTCTCGCTTCACCTCCTGTGTAGGAAAAGAATATGGTTGACTCGTTGATACATAAAAACTAAATCCAAAATTTCACGCATCAATACTTGTTTTGTATTCATTAGCTTGCAGTTTGTTTTCTTTGTGCGCCAATTTCAGCACTTGCACACAACCAAGTATCGTAAAGGCTGGTTATAGAGTAAATTTCATAGTCTAAAATACGTATGATAAATTCACTTTTGAAACTAAAATACACTGGAAAAAACTTAAATAAAATAGCGTGTAAACAATCTGCAACGATTTGTGACATTCCACATTTTTCGTAGCGACATTTTAAAGAGAGTGGACGATTTATTGTAACTCGTCTTTGGAAGAAACGTGGAGAAGAATAAAATGACAAAAAAAATGTTCCACCAAGACCATTCCACCATTTTTTGAAGTCTCTGAAGAAAACAAAGAGAAAAAGGAAATAGATTCAAATATTTTCAAAACGAAAGTCAAATTGGGTATCACGTATGATAGCCAAACCCTAAACAACACAGAAATCAAAGAACTCAATTCATTTTTCACACCGACAAACACAATTGGATTGCCTGCCACGAGATAAAGAAAGTTCACTCAGAAGCAAACAAATTGTTTGGCGGTGTTCACAGAGTACCGGAAACACCCCGCGGCTCGAAGAGCTGTCAGCTTGCTGAACAGCTGTCCGAAAGACAACAAAACAAGTACAGAACAAAACAATACAGCAGAAATAGAAAGAAAAAAACAGAAAAGAAAGTTCAACTCCTTTTTTCTGCTGGGTTCCTGGAGGCGACTCCACCGCGACCGTCTGCTCTGAGAAGAGGAGCAGACGACGGAACCGGAAACAAACGACGTTCGAAAAGCAGACGACGTTGGGAAAGCAGACGCCAACCAAACCGCAACGCAAGGGGGAAAAAACGACAACAGGAAACGGACCCCATACGACACACGGAGCGCAACAAAGACCAAACGGAAACGGGGGTAAATCCACTCGGGTCATCGAAAATGAAGCGTTGTGGACGCAAAAACGCATCTTCGGAAGACAAATGAAACCGCGAAAGCGAGGCAATTTCTCGTTGTGTCCAACGTTGGTCATGCGTTGCGCGTGCTTGCTCTTGTGTTTTGGGGATATCGTTTATATTTGTGTGAGTATGTGTGTGTTTGCTAGGCCTTGTGCTCGAAATTTCCTATCGTCCAAGCGATAAAGGGCACTTTCCCGCCGTAGTGCTCGCTCGTTCGTTTGTGTGTACCACGTTACTTTTAAGGATAAGATTAGGCCTAGTGGGAAGGATGGAAAAACGGCGGTTTTGTGGTTCAGCGTTATGCCGACATCCAACTGTGGTGCCGTGCGGTCTAAAGTGAGCCATGCACATTTGCGACTTGAATAGGCACTTTAGTGTCGAGTACGGTATAAAAATAACGGAAGATATGTTACGAGAATATATTGAATCGATCGTAAATTGGAAAAACTTAGAATAGTCCTGGCAGAGAACACGCTTAACAGACAATCGGTTGTCCGGTAATAAACTATGACAGCGATGGCCTCCTTGAAACTGTTCAATTAATGAACTTATCCTTTTGGATTGATCCGAACAGTAACCAAGTAATGCGCATATTATAGAAGTGATTACTCAAACGCGAACGTGAGGAAAAAGACACGCTTAGCCGGTTCACTCTAGTATGCGTGTAGCATTAGGAGAAATATAGTAGCGATAATTTATTACTGCGTGCCGTTCTTTCAGGTCTGAAAAGTCTCTGGAATTACCAGCCTAAGGTTCTTGAAGCATTATAAAAATATACTAATTTAATTAATCCTGATAATTATTTTATAAACGACAAAAATTAATATGTTGACGGTGGTGGGCGTCTATTTCGTAGAAGGTAGATTAATAGCAGCATCATCGCCATCATCATTTATACTCGCAAATTCGGAAAGTCAACTTGACGACGTAGAACTGAAATCAAGGTTTCTTTCGCAAAATTGTCCAACCATTAATACAGTTCGTAAATACGCAAAATCTAAACGTAATATGCACACTGGGAGCCTCTCTAAATAACTAGAACTTAGCAACCGGTCGCTCGCTCTATTAAAAAAGGTGGTGACCCTTCGCTATGTCTTGATAACTACACAGCCCTGTTGAGGGACGTAATATAGGATATCAATTTACGATACAATGAAACATATTATAAAATAAATATAAAGACTATTGTATTAAACATCACGCTTACTTTCTTTTTTTTTTTTTTCTTCTTTTTTTTTCTTTTTTTGGTAAGTTTAGTATTTAAGTGCATAGAAATGTGCTAGGAATAGGCCCCTTTAAAGCGTGCTCCGCGTAAGGTTGCCGTGCGTTAGGTGAAGCATCACTCAAACAAGAAGGCCTGCGCGTGATGTAAATGTTGCACTGCTTCGCTGCATTTACTTATCACCAAAAGCTGCTCGTTTCTAGTATTTATATCTCACATGCATCATATTCTTGCAAAACATTTCTATGTGGCGACTGCGGTGCTCGTATAAAGTGACTCATCTCAAGATAGGCGGCTCTGTTTATAGCATGGATGGGTGGCAGACACATTTCAAACTGCAATCGCATATTGAAATGAAAGATGATATACTACACTATACGTAGAATCATTCAACTGAGTGCTAGAACTCATGGAATAAAAAAAAAAAAAGACTGTTCCACGGGTGTCTACGGGACGAGATAATCGATCCTTTCAACCGTGGTCTAAGACTCTAAGTCACCCATGCAATCGCTCAGCCGGCCAACGTGAACGGGCGTCACAAAGCTCAGATCTCTGGCGGCTAAAGTTCTCGTTCTCTAGTCAGCCGAAAGGTATATTATGTTCCGTTTTACTTTAAGCACGAACGCAGCGGACGCTAAGACTTGACGGAATAGATCAATCAGCGTCCCAAACTTACAGCCTCACGACGCTCTCTTTGTCTTCCTGGGCTGGCTATCAGCGGCTAAACCAGCCACGCACAAAAACCAAAGCGCAGGATCGCGGCACGTTTACTCCGCGTTATTAAAGCAAAAGCCTTACTCGTCCCATTGCGCAAAACGCCGTCGGCGTTGTCCTTAAATGATGGTCAAAAAACTACGTCATCAAGCACGCACCTTAAAAATAAAACGCAAACACAGCCACGCAGGCGTTTCGTCACGGTAGCCGGCGGGGGCCCTTAAGGTCAAAGCGGACGCGCCACGGAACTAAAACCCAAAGAAAAGCATAGTAACGCAGATCCATCGTCACGGAAGCAGTCGGGAGGCCGGCAGGGTTCGCCGCGCCTGCGCAGTGGGGGAGCGTGATGTCATCACCGGAGCGCCGTGACGTCGCAAGGAAGACGTGCCGTGCTGCTTGTAAGATATTCGTGCGTGTAGGAATGCTTTTGGATTCCTACACGTAAGCAATCTTAAGTGTCTTACGCTAGTTTTTTTTTTTTTTTTTGTTTATTCGGAGACAAAAAAAACGAACAAAAACGACCAGCGGTCTTGAAGATCCACCTTTTGCGCCGCTCCATTAGGGTCGTATGACCGCGTCTTCGGCACGGGTTTGGCTTTAAAGCGAGTCGAAGGATACAGCGAACGTTACCAGAACAACGCAGTTGAGAAACTGTGCAACGAGCCCACTTCGGAGAATTGGCTCTCAACCGTACTATATAGCCGTCAAGTTAAACCCTATTGTAGACCCGCCGTTTTGGACGCAGCAACCGCTCTAAAAACTATATACAGATGTTTTTGTTTTGTTTTTAAGCTTAACAGATCTGTTTTAAAAAAAGCCGCGAAAGTTACAATAATGTCGCATTTGCAGATGAGTTATACGGCTATGGAGGACGCAAAGTATAGGAGGCTTATCGTAACAATTAGTCGGATAATAAACTAAGATGTGATAACGCTTTTGTGATTGAAAATAGACATCTGATTGTAATTAGCAACTTGCTGGGCGTCACAGAAAACCGTTAAATCGGTTAATGTTAGGAAGACTCAGAGCACGTGAGAAGCACGTTAGAGTGCAAGCGTTACCACTCGTACAGATGGAGCAAGGCTACCGGTGTGATAACGCGTCCGAGACGCTTTCCCGTCTCTTATCGTAGCCTCAGCCTCGCAGCGGCTGCACGAGCGGTACCTTTGGTGCACTACTACGCTTCCCCCGCGCTCCAGGTATTTCTAAAAATTATTTATTTAGTGGTTCCTGATGATGCTCAGCGAGTTTCTAATTCAAAATATGTGTCTACTGTAGCAAATTAAAAAAAATTATTTAACAAATTTTAGTTTATGTGCGACGTATCGTGGCGATTAACCCCCTATGTTGCATCCCCTTGACCGTGTAACTGCCCTTACAAACAGCATTAGAGCAACGGAGAAAATAATACGGCCCCGCCTTGATGTGGTGTCCTCGTAAACCTCCCAAATTGAAAAATTGCAGCAAAGGATCGAAACTTTCTCGAAGTGTCTTAAAATGCACCCATACTGCTTCTAAGCTTTTTTTTTCCATTAGCATTTTGTGACAGGCAGAGCTTGCGGCGCAGGTGTATGGAAGCCGGCCATGCCTCACTCACTTTTGCGAGGCTAAATTCAAGCCATACTCCGTTTCACATTGAGTTCTACCTCAATCAATGTGCTTAATTGGCTTAGCCAGAGATAGAAAACTCACAAAGACGGCAAGCGCCATGACAACGCGCTTTGGGAGCAGCTTGGTTTAGCTCCATCTCATGTTAGCCCAGCTGCGATCGAACGCAACATGAAGCTGAGCGCAGCTTCAGCAAGAATGTAATTCTGCATTACGTTCACGACGAAACACTCACCTCGCGAAGAAGGAAGCCGCAGCCGACGGCGATGCTCCGGCGACCACCGATGCCGTCCCGCAGGGTGAACTGTACGAAGTGCCCTGGATGCCGTCCAGCGAATGAGGGAACGAGGTGCTCGACGCCAAGAGCATGCAGGACGAGGACGAAGGAGTCGTCGCCGGAGCCAGCAGCGGCGCCGATCCGGCCGGAGACGGCGCCGGGGCGAACGGCGGCAGGCCGCACATGTCCGTTAGGCCTAAGCTCGAGCACGGCGATCCGCTCTGCCCGGACTCCGGACTGCTCATGGAGACAGCGCAGCCGTTGCGAGCGGCCAGTTCCTGCGATCCATAAGAAAGAGCGAATCATGAAGAGTTTGCTTAGGTCGTCAAATATTGCTATTGAAGTTGCCCGGCCACCGATCCCCATTGTTGGTTGGGGCGATCGGTGACCGAGTGTCTTATAAAGTGCGTGCCGCACTTTAAAGACCCAGGCTGGCAGTGGTACTCATGGTTATATTTCTCGTCTACGGTAGAGACCCCAGACGCCCATTGAGGCTGACTTTACCTTCCCTCCTTTTAAATATCAACGCAGCACTGTTACACAGTTATAAAGTATTCAGTTCGATAGACGGAAGGCTTTGGGTATAGTGCGCCTGAAGTCGTCGAGATCGCTGCAAAGTGGACAGGAAACATCATCGTCTTTTCATAACCAGCTCAAGTTTGAGTCAATTGTGTCTTTGAGTGGTGCATGTCACTTTGCAAAATTTCAAGGGGAATTTGCGTTTGTGTAAGAAATGAGGACAACATCCTTGGCATTTTCAATGACCGACACCGGCGCAGACGACAAAGCTGCGCCAAGAGACGCCTTAGGCGCGCTTATCTACAGGTGGCGCAACAGGCCACAAATGAGAAACACTTTTGGGCGACAGTCGTTCAGACCGAAGATAATCATCGTGTTATATGGCTATATCCCAACTGATTAGTAACAAAGGCGTTAAAATTTGAGCTAAAATAAATACGATCAACCCAGATGTAAACAGGTAGGCCGGAGTTGCGACGTTCAGCTGTGCTGTACAAGTCGTATGCTGTTTGCCTTTGATGGAATTTTACGTAACCTTTCGACAGAGACGCGAAGTACGACTTACGGCGTGGCCCAATCGTCTGAACCGGCGTTCGCCGTTCAAGATGTGAAGGCGTTCGCCATTCAAGATGTGAAGGACATTCTTTCTATCTTTGACAGGAACGAATTTACGCCTTGAAGTTTTATAAAGTAGCACGCACAGTTAAAATGCAAGCTATAAGAGAATGGGAGCCCGCTGCGTGAAGCAGCCGATTTGTTCGGTTCGTTTTACAGTTAGTCTTACTATTTCAGCCACTATGATAAACAAAACAGAAAACCTTGTTTTTCACGAGCTTTGAAGTTGACAGAATTATATTTTTATCATCGAACATATCTACGTGTGCGGCTGATGTTATTTTTAGCTTCTCTTACCACCACTGGTTAAAAACCATACAAGGCAGGGACACTATGGGACAAGCACCGCAAATACGTTAGCGGCGTGAGCGCAAACACTTTCCCCCACGACTGCGAGATCCGTGGCCAAAGGGCGGGAATGAAGCCAGGCCCGGCCGTCGATCCATCAACGCCGGTCGGAAGAGAAAGAGAAGAGGTTGTTGTCCCGCTGACCCGGCGTCGTTAATGAAGACGGAAAAGCCCCCTGCCGGAACACTAGCGACAGACAGAACCGCCGGTTTCTAATCGCGACCGCTGCTCCAAACCTTCGGGCTCCGTCAGAAGGGTCAGACTCACAAGAGCTGTAATTCTTCTTTCTCTAAAAAAGTACAAATTATTTATTGACATTCAAGAACTGCCACTAACGTCGGTCGTTTGTTTTTGATGAAGATATTTGCTCCTGTAGCATTTTTCAGTTTCCGAGTCTCACACTTTCTTTCCTTTTTTTTCTCTCTCGCCGTCTCTATCTCTCTCAATGTTTTTTCTTGTTTTCTGTAATTCCTGTATGTTTAGCCATTGGTTTCTTTCTGTTTTCTGTATCTTCCTCTATATCTATTTGTCTTACCACTGCTTTTTTTTCTGTTATGTACCTCGCTCTCTGCCGCACGCTCTTTTTTCTCTCCCTCTCTATTTCTCTCTCTATCTCTTTCTCAATTTTTTTCTGTCTCACTTCCTTTGTCTTTTTCGGCATTTCTGTATTCTTCTGTTCGTGTCTGTGTGCATTTCTCTCTTTCTCTCTTTTTCTTTCTCTCTTTCTTTCTTTCTCTTCCTCATCTGTATCTCTCTAGCGGTATCTCCCTGTATGAGTCTAGGGTGCATTCTGCATTTCTGTTTGAAGATTTTTGTTTGCACATATGTCTTCCTTTTTGTGAGTGTGCATCTTGTTTTTCTTCAATTGTCAATATGTATGTCTCGCTAACTCCCACCGTTTCAATTAAGGTGTGTTTGTTTGTCGTTTTTTTTTTTGTTTTTTTTTGTAGGATGATCTGTTTTAACAACACGAAACACGCATTTCATAAAAAACACAAGACGATACGTAATATTTTAAAGACCATGTAAGTCCGCGCACATTTATCAACGTATCGTTCACAGAGCCATCGTCCTTCCTGCGGCTGCCTATTGCCCTGCCATTTACCCTGTGTTTGTGTGTGTATTTGTCTTTGTGTTTAGTCTCGGCTACATCGTTTTCGGGCGTTCCCAGGAGAGACGTGGAAACAGTTCTGGACGATGAGAAAGCAAGCTGATCCGATTAGCGAAGCTGATCGCATTCGCTGCCCTCCGCTCTTCTCCTTCGCCCCTCTTTGGGCGCCAAATTAGCAATTCCGAGTTTATTGGGTTTCTTGTGGAGTGTCTCCGCGGCTCTAATCGTCCCACGGCCCCTAGACCTTACGACAAGTTCTCGCGCCCATTGAGGACATTACAGGAGACACGAAGATAGCTTTTGTCTGCAAGTCGACTGATCTGTACGCATACTTTTTTTTCTGGAGATGTAGTGGCCATATTGGTAATACCTATTGAGTGAAACTTCCTGTATGCCCTGGCCACCCCTAAGCTGACAGTGCAGTTCAACCAACGTGCCTGGTTGAACCAATTACGCGTCTTTGTTTCGCCACGTGATCACGTTTCCGTCAATACTAAAGGGGGCGGCTGATTGGTCAGGCGAGCACGTACCTCCCACCGCAATGTCAGCTTGGGGGAGAACGGAGTACAGTCTCCACAACCAGTTCTCTTGCCCATACCGGCCATTAAAAAAGGCATGAAAAGGTAATTTTGCCTAAAGGTAGACTTGTCTGTATTTATATATTTTTCTGGAGATGTAGTCGCCATTTTGTTAGTATCGAGTGAACCTTCGTGTAAGGGTGGAAGAAGCCACTTTACGCCTAAGGTAGCGACGTAAAGACGCGTCGCCCGCTTTCTTCAACCTCGTCGCAAAAGAAATTTCAGGCCAACAATGTAAAATTTATGGAAGGCTTCGCGCGACCAAATTTTCAAAAAATCGTAGGCACTGTACGCTTGCACACATTCGTAGTATTGTTAACACAACTTAACACGCGACACTGGGGCTATGCGAAATGTTACTCGGTTGAATTTGAGGTGTACGCGGGTAGGTTTCGAAATGTCAGTGTATACATATTGTAACGAATGACGAGGTGACCAAACAAAGAATAACTGACGAAACTGAAACGTTTAATGGGGCCAACCATTGTCTAAAACAAAAGTGAGCAGAAGAAAACAGTAGAGCGTCGCGGGCGTCGAAGTCGGCGTAACAGCAGGGTCGAACGCTGGGGTGAGACTGACTCTAGCATCTGGAACATTCGCGCGGGCTTCTAAAACATTCGGTGTAGAACATTCGGCGCCTAGAATATTCGGACCTCAAGTACGCAACAGGGTTGTCGAATTTACTAGAATGCGAAGGTTACAGATATAATAAAGATATACGTCCGCTGCCTGGAATTGAACAGTGGCCCAAGCACGATACCCGTTAGGCCACAGAGGCACTGCCTACTTGTTCAGCTGCGCGGGCGCGGTAATATCTTCACTTTGGAGTGCGAAAGGGTGACTATCTGAGCAGGACCTTGGCATGCCGGCATTACTTCTCAGAAATTACTTTGTTTACAATTATTAATTCAGAAGAAGTACAGCTCGGGTACACTCAAGACTATTAGCCTATCCGCCAGCTTAACTTTCTAACGTCAGACCGCTGCGGTGGCTCTGCTGTCATTACTGCGCAGGCGCAAGCGTCTCATCTCGCGCGAATCTGGTTTGTGCCCATGCGCGGTGCCCACATTTTTTTTGTGTGTGTGCAACGGGGGCTTGTCTGCTTACAGCGCGAGGGTGTATATGACCAAGAGGAAAATAACAATGCACGAACGTAAAAGACAAAGGTCGGCAACTTTAAGTCATCCTCTTGAAAAGTGCAAGACTAAAAAGAAAAGAAGGGGAGAAAAAGGAAAAGGAAATAAAGGCAAAAACAAAAACTCTAAAAGAATTCAAAAATTAAAAAAATATATATATTTGTACGGAGTTACAGCTTCGTGGAAATCTCCACTCGTTTTGTCTTCGAAGACATTATAACACGCGTAATATACATAAACCGAAAATTAAAAAAATATATATATACGGCAGGAAACGGATCCGCCTTAAATTCCTTCGCTCTCTTTTTAGCTGCCACCCGTGTCGACACTTTCTCAGACTAAGAAAAAAACACATAGTACAGCGCCATCAATGTCAAACACAGTACTACCGAATAAAACTCCATCACAAAAATAGAGAACGAAAGACAAAGCAAAAAAAAACATACACCTAAGCTTCCTTTTTCCCCAGTTCACTTATATTTTTGGTATTTTGGTATCCCGTCTGCACATCTTTTAGTTAGTTCGTCTGCTTCCAAAAGACGAAACCGATTGGAAAGCGAGGAGGCAAACCCAATCGTCATCGGCATCATTTATCACCGACGCCATCTTAGAAGACGTTTCAGATCCCATCACAAACGGTGTTTCCTCGCACCCCAGTACAATTCGAAAGCGTCGGCCTATGTGTAGTTCTGTATTATTATTATTATTATTATTATTATTATTATTATTATTATTATTATTATTATTTTTATTATTATTCCTACTAAGGGTCGGTGCTGTTGGAACGGAATCTGTAAAACCAATTCACTGGGAATTGAACGGATGCAGAACAAATTCCTCTCAAATTTTAAGTATCGCTATTTGGCAAGAGATAAGCAAACTTGGATTATGAAACCCTTCTGGAACGTGTTGGATTACCTGACCTATATCGACGTAGAGAAAAAGCAGATTTGGCATGTTTGTTTAAAAAC